ATGCTTTTAGTCCCAGCTACTTGAGAGGCTGAGGTGAAAGAAACACCCAAGCCCAGGAGGTTGAGGCTGCAGTGAGCCACGAGTGAGCCACTACACTATAGCCTGGGCGACAGAGAATCCTACTTAAAAACAGAACAAAACAAAACAAAACAAAAACAAAAACAAAAACAAAAAAATCATTCATTCATGACTAAAACTCTCAGCAGATTGGGATTAGAAGGGAACTTCCTTAACCTAATAAAGGACATCTTTTGAAAACTAGCATCATACTTCGTGGTAAAGGTCTGACTACTTTCCCGCTGAGGTTGGAAACATGGCAAAGATGTTCACTTTCAACATTCTAATTAAACATGTTACTAGAGTACCCAGTCAGTGCAATAAGGCAAGAAAAAGGAAAGGCATATAGATTGGAACCAATTATGATTAGTGAAATAACCCAGTTTTAAAAATGTATACTTTTTAAAGCATGATTCCATCTATAAATATTATAGAAAATATGAATAATAGTGACAGAAAACAGATCAGTGGTTGCCTAGGTAGTACATAGGGAAAAGGATTACAATTTTTTTTTTTTTTGAGTTGGGGTCTCACTCTGTCGCCCAGTCTGGAGTGCAATGGCATGCCCCCAGCCACCGCAGCCTCAACCTGCTGGGCTCCGGCGATCCTTCCGGCTCAGCCTTCCAAGTAGCTGGAACTACAGGCGTGCACTACCACGCCCAGCTAATTTTTTTATTTATTGTAGAGATGAGGTCTCGCCAAGTTGCCCAGGTGGGTCTCGAACACGTGGGCTCAGGCAATTCACTCACTTTGGCCTCCCAAAACACGGGATTACAGGCTGAGCCACCGAGCCCGGCAGATTACAATTATTAATTACTCTGACTATGGTAGTGTTTTCACAGGTATATATACTGTATACCAGTATAAACTGCACACTTTAAACATGTGCCTTTTGTTGTCAAATATATCTCAATAAAGGTGAGAAAAGAATGACTTAAAAGGCAAATCAAACTATAAAAAAAGTTTAAGGGGTGAAGTGCATAAGAGTTGTGCTTACCTTTGAGGAGAATGTAGATTTCTATGCGCATTGTACAAAGAAAGCCAGAAAATGTTAATAACAAAGTATGATGTTGTGCGTGTTGCCAGATTTAGCAAATACAAATATGACTCCCAGTTAAACTTGAATTTCAGATAAGCAAATGTCGACCTTAAATAATTAGATTCAGGAAGTGTAGCTATATGTAGAGTTTATTCCAGTTCAAGGCTTTAGGATAGCCACCCAGAAACACAGACTCCAAAGGGATGAAGTCAGTGCTCCAAAGTGGGAAGCTTAAGTTTCACTTATGTAGGCAGAAATAGTTCTATCAGACATGCAACATTTTCTGTATAAGGTCAGTATGTATGTTATAGCGATTTGATTAGTACAACTTGGTATATTCCAAGGAAGATTGCTTTAACATTTTGTGAGGAGGTGTAATGTTCTCGGGGGGGGGGGGAGGTCTTATCTCTGGCACCACTGGGTCATTTCTAATCATTTACAAGAGAAGAGCAGAAGTTGCAAGTGTACAATACATGACTCAGGCTACATAGCCACATTCCTCTCAAGGCTAAGAATAATTTACAGTTCCAACAGCTTTAAGTCTGAATTATTTTATTTCACACAAAGAATAACTGTTTAGTGTAAATATATCCTAAATATTATATGATACATACTGTAGTAAAAATAAATTGCTGTTTATCTGAAGCCTGGGACTTACTTATACTAAAATATTGTCCATTGTATATCTGAGATTCAAATTAAACTGGCCCTGTATTTTATCTGGCAGTCCTAGATGTCTTAGCTACCTTGCATGAAATCAATCCTCTTAAAAGGGCAGCTGCTTGAATTCTGAGTTTATTTGAATATACATAAAGCTACTGAATTGCTGTATACCTAACAAAGGCTGTATGCCTCATGTCCAGCACAGGGTCTTATTCACAAAGTTGCTCTGAAAATATTTTTTGCTCTGCAAGCTGTGTAAAGATAGAGACAGCATTCATCTTGCTCACCATTTTGTCCCCAGGGCCGATTACAAGGACTGGTGCTCAAGGAATATATGATTAACTGAATAGCTGCTTCTCATACCCCAGAAAATTGTAGGGTTGACCTTTAACTCATTTTTGTAGCTTGCTGATTGACTTCTTGGACAGGTCCCAGTTCTGATTTCTTGGTTTGTCTTCTTCTTCATCTTTTTTTTTTTTTTTTTGAGTTGGAGTCTCACTCTGTCACCCAGGCTGGAATGCAGTAGCATGATCATAGTTACTGAAGCCTCGAGTTGCTGGGCTCAGGTTATTTTTCTGCTTCAGCTTTACAAGTAGCTGGCACTACTGGTGCGCACCACCACACTTGCTAATATTTTGA